CCAACTTCAATGCTAAATCGATACAGTTAATGCAGTCGAGGTGGTTCGATTGCTTCTTAGTGGCTGAAGTAGCTAGAAAAATTGTAGACTCCGACAGTTTGTGCATATTTTCAAGTATAATTATGAGAACATCAGTATCAGAAGCTTCAATTAAGATTCTGGAGCCGGGTGTTACTTCATGAGCATGAAAAACAATCCTTGTATCCGCCTCTTCATGATAGCACGTACAATCAACTTCTTCAGATTTTTGAACACAATTATCCAGAGCTTGGTACAAGCAACACAGATGTTCAACAGTTAAAAAAATTTTTTTATTTCCGATTATTAGCAACACATTTTTGTTTTCCCAATAATCAGCCAAAAATTGTACTAAAGCATCCTTGAATCGATAATTTTTAAGGCTTTGCACAAAATCTTTGGGTCTAATTTGTTGAGGTCCTGTAATTTTATATGGTACATCAAACTCTTTTCGACTTTGGCGTTCGGAATCCTTGATGGAGGGTGTTACATATTGGTCGAATATTAAATGGATTTCTTTAGCTTGTGATGCACAAATTTTCATTAGTATTGACTCTGCAACTTTTTCAAATGTCTGTGGCATGGAATTTCCAATTAAGTACAAAAAGTAGAACCCGTCTATTATTTCAACATCAATATTGGTGGGCTCAACCATTTCGACCTGAGATTTTAAACTGTTTGCAAATGTTGATTTGGGCGTTTTTAACATTTCACCAGTAAGTGAAAAAAGTGCAGGCGGCATTGGTGCCAGTGGAAAGGTCAGACAATGTTCCAGATTAATTTTCTTCTTTACGCTAATAGCCAGGAGTCTTCCAAAAATGTCTCGTTCCATTTTTAGTAAAACTTTTTTACTTTTGTCTTTAGTCATGAGAATTTTAGTTGAGCATTGGGAAGCAAAATTTATGATTTTATTGCGTTTTATCGGTTTTTCAAATCTATCGGGATTCGAAGAACAGTCGGAAACAAAATCGAGCTTTTGTTGATTGCCGGCTATTTTCATATTTAGGAGAAACTTATTAACTTCCGGCGATGGTGCTTTACCAGACGAAATGTTAAACAACAATTTTTCATCGGTGGCATCATCGAATGGGTCCATTGTTTCTTTGATTGCCTTAATTATACTATCAAGGCTTTCTTTGTCTTTTTTAATTTTGCTTCTCTGCAACGAGTGAGAAGTATCATCTTTTTTTGTGAGTTTAATATTTCTTTTATTGTTGACAGTATTGTGGTTCTCATACTGTGGCTGAGCACCCATCATGTTATAGATGGAGTCCATATATAATTCCAAATTACTGCTGCGGATGCTTCTTGAAAACCGAAAGAATAAGTTAATTAGCTCACAATACTGATAGTAAAATTGAGCAGTTTTGCCTTTTTCACCCATCAAAGTCTGGCGGCTGAACTCTTTGTACCCATTGAAAATACGACTTAATAAATCGGGTAATTCGATAACCTCGTTGATGTCGCGAGAATTTTCATTCGTTGTATTGTGCATTTGCATTTGTAATAAATCAGTCAACATTTCTGAAGTCACATTTGTTGTGCTTAAATATTTTTCAAAGTGCAATACTTGTAATGCAGCAGCAAGTAGTGGATGCAGACGTTTACAACGATTGAAGTGTTTGCTGTCTAAAAAGCTGTTCATAGAACCGTTGGCTAAAACTTCTGCTTGAACCAGTATGTCTACCAATCCACTGCCATCTACATATTTTCCGATTGCTTTAAAAAATGTCATCTACATGTGAAATGCTCCTAAATTTACAAAAACTTTATCAAATTTAGGCTTTTCTTTTTCTTGGATTTTCATAGCCATTTTAGCTATCGCTAAGTCATACGTGACAATTATTTGCTCCTGTTGGCATTTTTCAGCGATTTCATTGGCCATGATAAGTGTTTCATTTACTATCGCATAAGACGTCGGAGATGAATTAATTAGAGGTAAATACTCGATCTTCTGCTTTTCACTGGGATCGGTTAATATCAAACAATTGTAACCCAGCCACATAGGAACAGAATCTAATTTTGATAATGACATTATCCATAACAAATCTTTATCTGTTGCTATTTCTGTAGCACCTTGACAAGCATCAATTACGGTATTAAACGCATCTACAGGAAGCAGCTGTAAATTTGTTTTTGGTTTGGAATAGTATGGTCTGATCTCACGTGATATCTCATTAAAACGTCGTCTTTTACGTAACGGACCTTCTTCGTTGACTTCAGGTTCTGATGAAGTTGTAGTATCAAGATTATCAAAATTGTCAGCACTAGTAAATTGGTATATAATACCAACAGTGTCGTGC